GTATTATTATTATTATTATTGTTATTATTATTATTATTATTATTATTATTATTATTTATATTATTACCGGTATTATTATTATCATCATCATCATCATCATCATCATCATCATCATCATCATCATCATCATCATCATCATCATCATTATTATTATTATTATTATTATTATTATTATTATTATTATTATAGTAGTATTGGCAGAGGCCTTAGAGTATGCGATTGATACACTTTACTACATTTGGTTAATGAAACCTACAAAAAGCAAGTTCCGATGTTTTCTCGTCACTTACACTGTTGATTCTTCTCCTCTTCTAGGTGAACAGGGAGTACAGGGACCGCCCGGTCCGCCTGGCCCACCAGGTAGATTACTATTGTACTTTAATCTTTACCGATTCTTGCACAAACATTGTCATAACTGTGCGAAGTAAGTTGTTGATAGTGAGCTGCGTGGTCCAAAAGTGAAATGCATTATGAGTAGATTTCCCGCAAGATTAAACATTTATAACGGTAACGGATTTAGTCATCACAGGTCATTCCTTTCTTAAAAACAACCTCTTGATGGAGAAAGTGTACCTTTTTAGCAAGGTTTGCCTAAGCTGAAATAAGAAATATAAACAAATTGTTGGTGTGTTTTACATAATAATAGACTCTAAAATGGATTAAATAACCCTTTGAAACTCCTAAATTGTCATATTTTCGAGGGGAAGGGGGATGGGGCTACATCCCCTGGACCACTTTTAGAAAGGTTTCAGCGACGCCCGACCACGCCCACACAAATAAAGCAATAAATGAATAATGAACATAAAATCAAACTAAGGCAATTTATAGATACAGCCCATGTGTTAATGCAAACAGTGGACACGAGCTGCGCCTTCTAGATTGTATAATATTATAGGACGGCATTCTCATTTCCAGTTACACACAAAGAATATTTTGTCAATGTTAACTCATCCACTGCGCAGCTCTTACCAGACATGTACTAGTCGGTTACTAAAGATACAATCTCTACCGTCAAGGGCGTCGATCCGTTGGTTAAAAGTGGGAGGGGGACGATTTGGAAAATAAGGAAGTCTTGGGCCGGTGACCCAGGCCTCGGACGGGGCCAGACGACTTCCCAAAGCCCCGGTGGGGGTTCAGTCGCGAAGCCCCCGGACGCTCTGCCGTATATAGCATTTTATAAGTCGTATCTAATTGATTAGATAAAATCAACATGCAGTGCAATGCAATAAACATTTATTTTGACACTACATCTTCAAAATACAGAGGCGGATCCACTAATTAAAAATAGAGGGGGCCATGGAAGGGCTTTTACAGATAGAGTGTAGATCACTTAGCTCAGCCCACCATGGTTGGGACTGGGGTAAGAAAATGTACGATTATGGCACCGGAAATGACACTCTCAGACTTAAATTTTATTACAATTTTCTTTTTTTCCACTTTTAAATTTTGATAAATTTAGGGAGGGGAGGGGGCGGCTGGTCCCCTTTGAATCTTCCACTAAAATACGCATCATAAATTTCAATTTATCCTGGTAATCATAATCAAGCCTGCTTATATATTTTGTGCAAAATAACATTCATAACAAATAATGATTTATTGTCTACTGATAGCTTTTGACGTATTTGAGCCAAGAAAAACAAATAAGATAAACTTAAAGCAGTCACTCTAATTTAATCAATCAAGGGTTTTTCTTTTTCTCCTCTTCTTGAAATTCACTTGTGTGTAAGTAGTATTGCGACTCACACTATTGTGAGTGGAAATACTACTGTCTAATTTACGATAAAACTGGACTAGGGAGATAGGAAGCACATAAAACATTAGTTAGCATTTTAATTTCACAAACATAAAGGTGATTGACTTAATTTATCATTATCATGACGTCGGTCAAGGCGAGTTTGCGTCAACGTAACATCAGAATTCGTAAACTTGAGGTATCACTATTTAAATAAGTCAAAATAGATAGACCTATGCGTGTCAAAGACTGTATAATTATCGTTTAATAAGGGCTATATAAAATTCATTTTACCAATTACAATTTTCTGAAATTAGGAAAAACAGGAATCTATGTATGTAGATAATAACATTAGTATATACAGGTTTTAATTTTTTATCGTATACAAAAGGAATAAATCGTTTATAGTGGAAATTGTGCACTTTTGAGTTTGTAAAAATGTTGGCCTTCCAATTGTAACAACGTATACAATACATTGTTTTCACAATAAAGTTGACATGTCCTCCTATTTTAAAAGTGGGGGACGAGTTTAGTTGTTCTTTAGACTTGCTTTGAAAAGTTGGGTTTTAACTACAGAAGATTGATAAAAAGTTGGGGGACAATTGATATGATGTCCCCCATACTTGTGGGGGACGTGGGGATGGACGTGTCTCCCTGTCACC